GTCTGATGAAGTCTCTTGAAGTCTCATGAAGTCTCTTGAAGTCTCTTAAAGTCTTTTGAAGTCTCATGAAGTCTAATGAATTCTTCTTAAAGTTTTGAAATAGGGTGAATCCATGAGAACTATACCACTTTTCTGAAAAAATTTTTTTTTCTGGATAGGTTTATAGTCATCAGAAAATCCGTTTGAGAAAAAAATGTTAAAAATAGTGCTATCATCTTAGCAGTTATAGTTTCGGATATGCATATCTGTACATATACATTTGCAATTGTCATAAGAATAATACTTTCAATGTCATCTTGATCTTTATTCGAATAATTATATAAAGATATGGAATTTATGTGCTCAGATAGGTTTTGTAAAAGAACATGATTAGAATGATAAATGATGAACAAAAACACGAGAATAATCATAAAAGATATTTGATTTCTTTTGATAATAGAGAAAAAGAAATATAATTACTTTATAATTCATGATCGAGTCAATGAGTTATTGAATTGTAAAAGTCTAATGCAAGAATTCGACAGTTATTATATGTCTAGAATTCATACGAGAAAGAATGATTATTTATTCGCAAACGATTTCAATCTTGATAGAAGAAAATAGTACAATGGTTAAAGTTTTAGGATCTCAGGTATTAGTATCACATCCATACCTTCATACTTATACTAAGAATACTTTAGCCATTTTAATGCTTTTAGCATGTGAGTTTAAGTTTCAGCGTGCGTGTTTTCTTTACTTTTACACCCACTAAAAGATGAAAAAGCTTCTCACCTCAGCTCCATTGGGGTTGAAATGTGGAACTCACGTATTTTCTCCAGCTTCATTACACTAACATGAAATATAGAACGTATAAAATCAAAAATTTCTAAATTTTTTTAATTTTCTAACAGGCGTCCTTATGTTTCGTTTTATTGTTGCTATTCGTTCAGTATTTTTCGTTTTTCACATTTATTTTGTTTTAATTCTATGTTTGTTTTTATTTATTATAAGCATTGAATTAGATGATAAATGAAACTATTATATATGTATATATATATATGTTTATTTATCCATTATTTAATCCTCGTTGCTAAGGGCTGTAATGGGGGGGGAGGAGGGGGTATGTCTGTAATGTTTTCTTTCTCCGTTGCTAAGTGTCTATAATGGGGTGGCGGGAGGTAGAACTATCAAACCTCGAACTGAAAGGGTACACTCACTATTTTCTTCGAAAATGTACGTGAGTTCCAGAAAACAGACTTTTCGGAGCAAACAATTTTCAATATCATTCCTGTTCGTGGTTCTCGGAAGACACTAGTTACTCTTTTATGAATAAGGGTGTCAATTTATATTTACTTTTCATTTAATTTACGCGTAAATTAAATGATAAATAATTTATATTTATTATAAAGTAAACGGTAAATGACACCGCTACTATTTGATAAGTTTTGTTTTTTGTATGTTACAGAGGTTTCATGTAATTTCTATAAGATTTTTTGATACGCATGGAATCTGCCTTTTGAAGTCCTGTGAAGTCTTTTGAAGTCTTATGAAGTCTTGTGAAGTCTTATGAAATCTTGTGAAGTCTTGTGAAGTCTTGTGAAGTCTTATGAAGTCCGATGAAGTCATATGAAATCTTATGAAGTCTTGTGAAGTCTTATGAAGTCTTATGAAGTCTTGTGAAGTCTTATGAAGTCTTGTGAAGTCTTGTGAAGTCTTATGAAGTCTTGTGAAGTTTGATAAAGTCTTGTGAAGTCTTATAAAGTCTGATGAAGTCCTACGAAGTCTCTGAAGTCTCATGAAATCCGTGAAGTCTCATGAAGTCCCTGAAGTCTCATGAAGTCTGTGAAGTCTAGCGAAGTCTTCGAAAGTCTTTTGAAGTCCCATGAAGTCCGATGAAGTCATATGAAATCTTATGAAGTCTTGCGAAGTCATTTGAAGTCCTATGAAGTCTTCAGAAGTCTTTAGGAGTCTTTAGAAGTCTTGTGAAAATATGAAGTCCTAGCGGGTGAAGTCGGTTGAAGTCTTTTGAAGTCATGAAGTCTTGAAGTCCGCTGTTTCCCCCTTGCAATTCATATTCATTTACTGAAGACATTTTTTTAACTAAAAATTCAATAACTAACTAACTAAAAACTGATCACATTATTTTATATATAAATAAAAAATTTTTCATCAATTGTGAAATATTCATCAAGGTCAATCATGTTGACATAAGTATTACTCTCGCTCTTTTCTCATAACTAATAACAATAAAAATGTTTTCTTCTAAACATAAAACTTTATTCATGATTCATTATGGAAATAAATAAATGTCTTCAAAAAATCTCTATATTTTCGTGTAAAACTAGTGAATAAGTTTAACGAAATATATTGTTTTTCTTTCAAGATCAACCTAATCTTGTAAAAAATAATAAATTAAGATATCTCATTATTTAACCGTTATTGAAAACAAACTGAGCAAGAAACATTCATCAGGAAACATCTTTCATTATGATAAAATTTTTTTATGGATATTAGAATCACTAATCAAAAGATTTTTCAAGAGTGAAGCAACGGAAAATTCGATCTACGTTTTTCATGAAACATCACTAGTTGACCAAAAATAATACAAGAGAAAAAAGTTCGCGGCATTTTTTCTATCGATATATCTTTGCAACTACTTGAGAGATTTTAAGAAATAAAGTCTTCTGTGTAAATTGTAGAAATTTTCACGCTGCATCTTGTAGTATATTTTGTTTTTTTAATAAAATGTATTAGGTGATGAAAACTTGAAATGCAATAATGCTACTATTTAATCTCCCTCACCTGTTGTTTTTTTGAGAACCAAAAATGCATGTAACAAACTTTCTATATTGACGCTCTTACTTTGTGAGCTAGAGCCTTTATTTTTGCACAATAAGTGTACTTTGAAATGCTCTTTAAAATGACTATTTATTTGTTGAAATTGCTCGAGTAGTTGCAAAGATATATCGATAGGAAAAATGCCGGGAACTTTTTTCCCATGCCTTAAATAGAAACTGAGATTTTATTCATTAAAATTATTTTAAACTTAATATGTATATCTTCATTTCAATATTAACATTTATTCAAGGGAGAAAAGCAACTATTAAAGATTTTAAAAGAATTCATAAGATTTTAGAGACTTTCGATGTTGAAATCTGTTTTTTTCCCTCTTGAGTTAAAGGAACTAACAAACGACAGAAAATCCACTCTACACCAGTATCTAATCGACACCTTTTGAACAAAATGCAGTTTTAAAAACACATACATTTGCTCGTTGTATTTATACGAAATCTTGTATGATCACAACAAGAATATTAATGTAATGTATTCATGTTGTTATATGCTTGAAACGAAAGCATCATGGTGTTTATATATACGTTGCGAAATAAATTTTGCTTTCGTGCATCCAATCGGGTCGCAAAATAACGACGAAAAAATTTTCAAAATATACCTTACTATTTTTTTGGTCGAAAATTTCACCATCGTTT